ATATAGTCAATCCATCTTCTCCATTCCGCTACATATCTTTCTTGTGTATAGTCCTTCAAGTACGCTGAGATTTTCACCATTTCTGCTAGGTTCGTTACTTTCAATATCCACTCTTCAATAGTAGGCAAAGAGTCCTTCTTCCAATATTGTGCTACCAACAGCCTAGCTGCTGATATTAGATTCAAAATCAATTTAGTCTCTGATACTGTACAGTCCATAGTTATACCCAATAGGAACAATTGAGGAGTAAATTTCAACCTTCTTTTCAGAATATTCTGCATCACCCACCAAATTTTCCAAAATGCCAACCACTTCCTTAATTGAACTTATATAATAATAATAATAATAATAATAATAATAATAATAATAATAATAATAATAATAATAATTTTATTTCTATACCGCCCTTCTCCCAAAGGACTCAGGGCGGTGTACAGCCTATTTAAAAACACAGACAAAACAATAATATAAAATTTAAAATAATTAAATAAGTGGCTCAAATTTAAAACCCCAATAAATTTAAATACCCCAATTTAAAACTATTGTGTTGATAGTCCGGCCTGGCGGAACAACAGGGTCTTCAATGCGCAGCGAAACACCCGGAGGTCGGAGATCTTACGAATTTCCGGGGGCAGTTCATTCCACAGGGCTGGGGCTCCCACAGAGAAGGCCCTCCGCCTGGGCGTCGCCAGCCGACATAACTTGGCTGATGGCACCCTGAGGTTATCCTCCTCAACTTTCTTTAATTTCCCTTCCACAAGTAATGTTAAATTATTCATAGCTTCTTTCATTGCTGTTGCTTGATTATTCATGGCTTCTTTCATAAATTCTTTAAAATCATTAAGTGCCGCATCCTGGCTCTGACTCTGACTCTGACTCTGTGAATCAGCCGGAAGTTGTGCTTTCTGTGTCACCACTGACACCACTGGAGAACCTCCCCCTCCTTTAACAACTCCTGGTTTCACTTGTCTAGAAGCCATTTTTCCCCCCTTTTAAAAAGATCTTCTTTTTTCTTTTTTTTCCCCAAAGCCACAAAGCCACAAAGTCTTTTAAACAACTTTAAAATATAATTTAGTCTCTAATTTATCAAGCAGGATATTTTTTTTTCTCCACAAGCTTTCACTTCCCAGCAGTTAATAAGCAGCTAATCCACTCTCCCAGCACAAAGTTCTCAAGCACTTTCGTTTCTGGCTTTCACTTTCAAAACCATAACAAAGACGCCATCTTCAGCCTCCAGCTCAATGAGTTTCAGTTTGAAACAAAGTAACTTCGGAGTTAACCTCTGTACTTTTAAAGCTTGTTCTCCTGTTTTCCACTCTGCCTGCGCTTGTAATCAGTCAAACTCACTTTTAAAAGCAGGATCGGATCACGGCTTCTCGCTCTGCTTTCGCAGAGTCGTCCTGGCTTCGGAGCTTCTTGGCGGGCTGGCTGGGGAGCTCTCACCCTCCAAGCTTCTGGAAATATTCCAGAGGGCTTTCGGGGAGCTCTATTCTCGCTCACCGGCTCTCCTCTCCTTCTTTTCCCGAAGGGGAGGTTTTTCAGCCATGAGACAGTCGGTTTGCGCTGTCAAAGCGGCTTTTACGAAGACACAGGGCTGGCGGTCTTAAAAGACCGTCCACGGAGCCTGCGGTGCCGACCGGAAGTCAGCCAAAGTTCATTCTTGTTAATAATAATAGTTATTATTGTGGCTGGTTGCACAGTCAGCCAGCTGTTTTGACTGGAGTTTGCATTTTTGTTCACCAAAAGTCTTTCCTAAGGCCCTGAAATTTAGACAGTTGTTGTTGTTGTTGTTGTTGCTGCTGCTGCTGCTGCTGGTGGTGGTGATGGAGGTCTTGGGAGTAAAGCTTTCTGGCTCACAAGCAAACTTAAAGCTAAAAGCCATGTCTCAGCTGTAGCCATTGAGAAGGAGACTCCCATAGTTATTTCTTCTATGCTGTCACCACTGTAGTGGGTTGGATTACTTCAAAGTATCTCTCCTCTAACTGAGGGGAGGAGGTTGGTAGTGGAAACAATAGTGATGGTGCTGATTCAGAAACAGGTGACTCCGCACAGCAAAAGAAAAACAGAAGTAGCAGCAGTGGTGCCTCCCACTCTTCTTTTATATGATCTCTCCACTACAATTCCTCTTGGGGTCCCCTTATGGCCAGGCTTGAAGGTCCCAAGTGACCACCTCTGTTTGTCTCTATTAGTACATCCCTAATTAGATTGGTAGTCTAGTTCACTTCTGGGAATTTAAGATTGTATACAAAGCACATACACCCTTCATTGTCTTCCCTGCAAATAGAACCTTGTGAAATAGTTAGACTAAGAAATAATGACTAGTCAACCAGTGAGCTTACACAGCTAAAGGAGTTCATTGTTTAAGTTAAGGGTTTTTTTTTTATCCTAATCAATTATTTTACCTATATATTGCAATAATACTTAGACTTAGATACCAATTCATAGTGCTTTTCAGCCCTCACTGACTTTGGAAATGTTTTGCATCAATATTTGTATCAAATGCTCAAACACAAGGTTTTTAGAAATAATTATTAATTTTACATCTGTTAATGATAATCAAGAAAAAAGTAACTTCATGTAGATACCTACATGAATTAAATAAGGCAGAGGATGTCTTCCATTAGATTGACCATGTAGAGTCAGGTGGCTTTTTAGAAGTTTTAATTGGCAGTTATTATTATGGCTATATGGTAGCTAGGTCTTCTTCTGTATTTCTGCAACTAATTAACATAATGAAAATTACCTACTGTCAAGCTTATGTATAGAAATACTACAAAAATCTGAAGCATTTTCTGTTTCATGTTTTGACATATCTTTTAACAACTTACGCTATTGTTCGTTCTTCTAAAGTTTATGATGTGAGTTCTATAATTAATTAGATAATTAAGATCCAGCATATTATTTTTCTCATAGTAACATTTATCAGATATATATGGCCGCCCACCTTATATGATGTGTCTCTGGGCTATATATAAACAAACCAAAGTAACCTGATGCATGGTCTGTTGTAACCAAATACTCTGGAAGGTTTTTCTAATGTATTAACATAATTACAAATGATGATTTCCTACCCTGATGAAGAAACTGCTTTGAATGCTTTTCTTGAGTATGTATGTGTGTAATGTGCATATGTGTGCATTACCATTTGGATACGAGTGAATGCAGATAAAGGTGTCTGAAGCAGTTCTGATTTCTTTTACAGAATGAGGATAATTGCTTTAATATTTCAAAATGGGGAATCACTTGGGCCAACATGTTTTGCAAAGCCCATTTTTGAAACCTGTTTTTCCAGCCTAAATTCTAGATATGATCTAATGTAGAATAGTTTACTTGTAACTGCAGTATTTTTGTCTCTATCTTTGTCAAAAAAAAAAATATCAGCTATTGTGGAAAAATGTAAGAAATTCAGCCTACTCTCACCATCTTAATACTATAATTGACAATAGGTAACATCTCTGAGATTTACAGATCAGTACCTTAATAAATATAGCTTCTGTGTTAATGCCAGTAGCAAAAATTTATCATCTGGCTTCACAATCAACATATAGCACTTTCTTGAAGCAGTGCTTCCCATTTTTCTGTCAAATGGGGAATTATAGTGGCCACCTGCCATTATATGATATCAGCATTTGTGAGAGCTTCAGATGTCACTTCTTTTTAACAAGCTCTTGAAAATCAGTAGAACTCCATCCCCCAATTTTACACCTTATGAAAGGAATAACAGCTCTAGTTAAAACACTGCTTTAACATGATTTGCAGCTTAAGTCTGTCATCCATTCTCTCCCTTCCTCTCCAACTGTTGTATTAAGCTAATATTAGACATGTTCTTTTATCTCACTGTATTTTGTTTATTTTTAAATACATAAATTGTTTATGTAATTTGAGGAAGTTTTAGAGGAGGAGCTATACCCCTATTGTAGAATGCATGTTTCACAAGTCCAAGTTTGCAAATCTAATCTCTGTCATCTTTAGTTAAAAGCATTCCACTCTGTTTATGCCCCTAAAGAATTTCTAGACTAGAGAGTATACAATTAAGCAACTAGTCTAAATTAAGAAATTAGACTAAAATTTGATATGGTCATTCATTTATTAGATTATGTACTGTATGTATAAGGCTCTCACAGTATTGTTTAAAAATACTGTGTAAATGCTAGCTATTAATAACTCAATTTTTCCTTGCATCATGGCATGGCTTTGCTATTGTTCAATATTTCTCACAAGATATAATAACATTTACATTTAAAGCTTGATCGTAATTCAGTGTTGGAACTAAAACATTGAATAGAATTGGCTTATGTGCTGTTGTCCCTTTATCTATTTGGTTGAACCTTAGCACTAACCTGTTAGGTCAAGGGATCTCTCAAGGCTGTTAAATTCTATTATTCTATTAACTTCTGTAACATTTACAGGAGGTGATAAGCATCCTTCTGTTCTGCTTCCTGGACTGGTGGTTCTCTTTATTACATTCAATGTAGCTGTGAACATTATTGCAGACAGTACATTTTCAAATTACAATGAAAGACATTACACAGATGTTAATTTCTAGGTATCAGCATTTTCTGAATTTAGCATGTGTTGGAAGCATGCAATTGAAAATGTATGTTTTGACAACGCAGAGCATTGTGTGATTTCATTGCCAGTTGTCATGCAGATGCTTTTTGTGGTTAGAAGTCTATACTTTGCCAAGAACAATAGGAGTTCAGACTTATTTAAGCTGATATTTGCAGCTTCCACAAGTTCACTTTAAATGTGTCTTTGCTAATTTGAATGGCTGTTGGTTTCCTCTTTCCCTAGCTGTTTGGTTGTCCTAAATAGCCTTTTAGATATTCTGTACTGTCTGAAATACAATTGCTTCCTTATATGGCAGATCAGCTTTGAGATCTTCCTGACTAGATCAGTTTTGTGATATTTTAAGTTCTTGAAATAAAGTGAAATGAAATGAAGAAGCATAGTTTAATGTCCTGTAGTTTAAGTACTTAATTTTATTTCTGTATTCTTAGTTTGTCCTAAGCAAGCACCTGAAGAACTGTCTTCCATTCGGGACTCAAGCCTTACAAATGCACCAATGCAAAGCAAGCTAGTGGCTTCCTTCCAGCAACATACCAAAAAGGCACTTAAACAGGTAAAGTAACATTTCTTGATTGAGTTTATATTTGCATATCTAAACTAATTGAATTGAATCATTTATTTCTACCCAATACTTCACATTTTATACAAAGGATGTTTTTTTTTTTTTACAAAAGATGCAAAATTCCATCCTAATAGGCATCTTACTCAAAATCAAAAGTATTGGATGAAGCAGAAACAGGGAAGCTGCAGATGCTGAAAGATGTGTCTTGCAACTTCCTGGATTTGTTTCTTCCATGGTTTTAGATCCCTGATGTGCTAGACGCATTTCCAAGGCACGCTAAAATGCCATCTCACATTCCTGAAAGACTCAATATATATAAAACACTGAGGTGTTTTATGTACCTACATATCTATATTTATATCTATATCTATATATCTAATCTATGTCTGTCTGTCTGTCTATCTATCTGATGGACAGACATAGATATAGATAATAAATAATAAATATACATATACATATACATATACATACACATACACATACACATATACATATACATATACATATACATATACATATACATATACATATACATATAAATCAGAGCTGGGTTTCAGCAGGTTCTGACCAGTTCTGGAGAACCGTTAGCAGAAAATGTGAGTAGTTCGGGGAACTGGTAGTAAAAATTCTGACTGGCCTCGCCCCCATCTATTCTCTGCCTCCCAAGTCCCAGCTGATCGGGAGGAAACGGGAATTTTACAGTAACCTTCCCCTGAATTGGGGAGGGAATGGAAATTTTACAGTATCCTACCCCTGGAGTGGGGTGGGAATGGAGATTTTACAGTATCCTTCCCCTGCCACGCCCATCAAGCCATGCTATGCCATGCCCACCAAGCCGCACCCACAAAACCGGTAGTAAAAATTTTTGAAACCCACCACTGATATACATATACAAAACACCTCAGTATCTTCGTCTGATATGTGCAAGAATCTGCTATGTAGCCAAATCTGTGATTCTTCAGGTACCACATTAATTACAATTATATAGTACTGGTTTGGGAATACTCATCCTGGCTTGTTTCCAATTCCGAAGTAGGAGCTGAGGAAAAATAATGCTTTCCTCTCCCATGGGTTAGCATGGGATGAAGATAAACACCTAATGCTACTTACCTTTTCCATTACCATAGGGGAAGGGATGTATTTTTATCAGAACAATGTATGATTTGTAGGAGACTATAGTTAGGAGGTGAAGCATGCCACATTTCAGTGCTAAGGGCTTTCAAGTTACACAATCTTTTAACTGAACAATTGTTTACTCAGATCACTTCTGTAGCATCCACAAATCTCACAGTAATTCTTTGCCACTGACATTTGAATAATCACAGCCTTCATTCTATCCCATATCTATCTTGACATTGCTATTATAGGACAAAATAACAGCACTCATAGTAACACTATGATTCATAATCTGCTCATCTTTCAGTGTGATATATGTCATTATTTGTCAGCAATGCCAATTCCTTTCAAAAGAAGAGTTGAATATAAATTTGGCATCAGAAATGTCACTATCCAGAAACAATAGGAAGATATTTCAGTTAGGTAGGACACTCTGTCACTAACTTCAAGGTGGCAGTCTTTGGGGAAAGGAATTTTAAAAACTGATTTCTTTGTGAAATAGCTGAGATACAATTCATTGGGAGTTTTAATACTATTATAGTTTAATACCATAACTTTAAGGAGAGGATTCGGTTTCCTATATCACTGCATTAATTAGCACATTAATACATGATGGTCTGTGTCAGAGGTAACAACTGTTCTGTCAATGGCCTGTATCTAAAATGTAGTTTTCACCCACTGCGCCTTTTATATTTCCATCTGATGTATCTCTTTATAATTTCCCACTCCACTGCTCCATCATGGGAAACTTGTATGTGTGTGTATGAATGTGAATGCATGTGTATGTAAATATTATGTGCATCTGAAGAATGCAGTTTAAAAGAACTTGCATACTAATTATATTACTCTTCAGAGTTCCATAAGACATTAATGTGATTTTGTATCCCTTTGGAAAGGAGATAGAAATGGGAATAGTTCAGAGTTTCACAACGAAACTAAATATGGATAAATATTTCCATAGGAAATACTAAGTCTAGCAGCAAGGTGAAATAAGCAAATATCAACTGAGGGCAAAATCCATAAACACCACTACAGTTGTCTTGATAGCATAAAATATTCAAGAGAGAAATGCAAATACATATACACTCATCCTGCAATACTAAACAAGCAGTGAAACTTCCTTTTAAAAAGATTATCAGTCTCAGTTGATGTGTTTACCTTAAGGAGGGAGTCTTCTATTCTCCCTTCTTTTTCTTTCATGCTCTAGGTATTCATTACCACCAGATGCAGTCAGCTGGATTTGATTTAACTCCAAACTGTGGATCCTATCTGTTAGGTGAATGAACTTTAAGCAGCAATTTTTGTTCAGAAAATTGCTGTTGGGAGTCAGTGTTGCTACTGTATATCTACTCTTCAGACCTTCTATTGCTTTTATGTACTTACAATGTGCTTCTGTTCTACTACAAATAGCCCACAGTGCTTCTGAATACACAGAGATGTTAAGCAATTATATGTGACACATACCACCTTATATTAACTTACTGGATCTATTTTGCTGTACCGGGAGGTGAACCTTTAACATGTTCTGGGAATAAACTGCTTACACTGTGGAGTGCCAAAAGCAGCATGGACTTGGTTGAAGATTTGGAGGGGGAGGGGGCTATTTTGTTGATTCCAAAACTCTTCTCATGCATTGTTCAGTATGTTAGGCAAAAGAATGAAACTTTGAACATTTGCTCTAATTATATTTCAGTTTATTTTTTAAAATCAGTGCTAGATACAGATGAATATAATAGAAGATTATGTGGTTCAGACTTTATTAGTTTTTTTTTTTTGACCAGTCATTTTCACTGAGAATGATGTGAGAATGATAGCATTAGACTCAACCATTCCACATTTGTGACTTACCCCTGCTTCTATATCATCCAGCCATCACTGAGACAATGTGAATTATTTTGGCACAAGTATAGTATGGATGACCTTAGAAGTTGCTGTCTGTCATTCATGGGATCTGCTGTTGAACCAAAATTCAAGAACTTTCTTGTCCATAAAAATCTCCTTGTATCGAGCCATGGTTGTTGCCATTAGTCTCTCAAGTAATCATCTTGATCTCCTTGGTAAAAAGATAGGATTCATATATCTAAAGGTTATTCCTCTAGCCTGACCAGAAGTTAGTACAGTTGAAGCAATAAGGAAATGACCAACTGCAGCAGTTCCTGCACTAATTCCTGCACGGTCAGGAATTTGAGGAATTTTTTTTTTAGCTTTAATTTCCAGCCACATTTAATGGGGAATTGTTGTGGGCATATTGAATGGTTTGCTTCTGAGTTTTGGAAGTCTCCAGAGGCCAAACAACAGGGTTTGGGGGCCATCTGTCTGGTGCAAGTGGCCCATCGCTATCTTACTGAAAGATACTGAGTCAGACTATTGGTCCATCTAGTTCAGCGTTGTCTGCAATGAATGGCAGAGGCTATCCAGGACTTCAAGTCGGAATCCTTCTGAAGATACCATGTAGGTCTTCTCTTGAGGTACAGCTATGCAGACAAGGCTGAGACACAGTTAAAGAGTTGTGAGCTGGACTTCAGCCTGACTGATGTAGACAGTGATGAGGGAAGCACTGCTCAGGTAAGTATATCTGAGTTATTCAACATTTATATTCTTTTTTCATTGTAGCTATTCTCCTTGATAAAATCATTTCCAGCATGTCTCAGTGAGTTTTGACAAAAGGGTTCATCGTTATGTATTGTCATTTCTCATAGACATTTTTAGTTTATTTTTTCTCAGCAGTACCAAAAAGCATTGAAGGCATTGGGTCAATTTAATTAACATTGAAGGAAAAACAGTTTTGCTTTTCATAGGGACTTTGCCATTGGAACATATTCTGTGATTTCAAAAATACATTAAAATTGTATTATATATCAACTTGAAAGGGTCAAAAGTTAGTTCATATAAACCTGTCAGCTGAGCATTGGAGATGTACCAATCTGAATGCAGGCCTTTTTCATAAACTCACTAAACCATGATGAAAATGGGGGAGGGAACATTATACTAGCAAGTATAGTCCCAGTCTGTTCTGTAAATAAATTCATGGTTTTTTATAATTTTCCTGATCCTATTCTTTAAATACTACATTTGTTTAAACTGGAGTCAGCCAAAGGCAGCTTGGCAGATGCCAAAACCCAGAAGAAGGCTTTAAAAGAAAGGATCTGGTTGTTGGACAGAATTCTCTTTTGTCTATTTCGAACTTGGTGAAAAGTCTGTGCGCCAGAGCAGCCTAAGATGGCTTGTCACTTGGCTACATGGTTTTAGACATAACAAAATGTAAATGATACATATTCTATGCATATGCTAGTTGGTGGATGGGGAGTGAAGCAGGGAAACAACATTTGGTTGCATCTCATGGTTATTAGTTTCATGAAGAAGCGGCTGCTCAAGTTACTGCATAGTTGTATATACATAGTTACTTGTACTGTTGCCAAGAATGACACCATTTAGCAGCATATCACAAGCAGGAGGTCTGGTTCTTTGTTCACCAGATTACAGCATTTTTTTGCTCACCAAGTAACATCGAATACAATACATGGTTGTCTCTTTTTACATGTGTCTTAGGAAACTTCTTTTATAGTAAAAATAATGAGCCGGTGCACAGTAGAGAGCTCTGCTAAGGGAAGAGGCAAAGGTTCTTGCACACTGTTGTCCTTAAGTGAGAAGATGAAATTGCTAAACAGCATGGCATCCATTGGATACCATTACATTATTATAATCTATTGTTCACTCCGTAAAGAAAGAAAAAGTCACTATCTGTGCAAGTGTGACGTCCATATTTTGAGTCTCAAAGATAGAATTCTATCTATGCAGTACTAGAATGGGATAGATGGGAAATGGGATGGATCGCCTCAGCCTATGTCTAGAAAGATAATCCTACTTATGATTTG